AAGTTTTTTTTAATGTAAAATGTTAAAAGGTACTGTAGTTTAGTAAGAAATATAATTTATTTTCCAAATTTTACCAAAATATGTTCATAAACAAGCAAACTACAACAGTTGACTTATACTCCATAAGAATTAACATAGGAATTTTAAAATTACAATTTTTTTAAATTTTATCTATAACAATTAGGCGCATAATAACGCTTCAATATACTAATTTATTTGTTTTTTAAGCTCTACAAAATGGTTTAGAAAGAAATTGTGAAATTTTGTGTTTTTAGGGTCAAAAATGGAACAAACCTATTTTTACAACAAAATATTCAATATACAATATACAATATACAAAATATTCAAGTTTATCCCACCTTACACCTTCAAACCAAATTTTATCAAAATCGGACAAAAATTACTCAAGTTATCGTGCGGATGGACATATATATATATATATATTATATATATAAATTTGAACTAATGGTGTTTTTGGCCTCTGGGGACATCAAAATGAAAAAAGTAAATCAGTCCTGGGCCTAGGTCTTACCATGAGACCTACGGTAATAGCTACTTCCCTTTAGGGAAATTCGCTAAAACTAACCAAACTTGCTGTAACATTTAAAAACTCAATTTAATATTCCCCACTCGTCTTTTCTGTTATCAAACATAATTTTTAAATGGTACAGCAAGTTTGGTTAGTTATGTTAGGTTAGCTTAGAACAGATTCATTTCTTTCCATATAATAGACTATATTTTAGCCTAAATATTAGCTGTCAATTTGTTATCGTAAAGGAAAAAAAATCGATATATAAAAAAAAATCATCGATAATAATGATTGTTCCCTTTAACAGGAAAGTACCCTTTTTCCTGAAAAGGGTTTCATTGGAAATATACTAAAATTATATTTTATAGAATGATAATGTAGGCCTAATCAATGCATTGCAGAATTGTAAGAGAGCTAAACATTCATTAGCTTTTATCCACTCATCACATAAAAAAGTAAGTTGGCAACCAAACTAAATAACAAAATTTTATTGGTTTTCCCTGTAATACTGTTTCAAAAAATTCAACAAGTACCGGTGGGCCGAATAGATATGACAAATATACCATACAAGAATATGCAGCCTAATTTCTACAGTACAGTGGTACATATAAGGAATAATAATAATACATTATCAGCACATTCTTCTTCTAGAGGTAAATGATTGAAATTAGGGGTAGCCATGGTTGTAGTGCTCGCCATCGATTCTGAAGGTTGCTTGTTCGATTCCAAACAAGTTCGTTAACAGATTAGAATTATTTCCTAGCCCACTGAATACAGAATATTTATCAAAGACTTGCACATCCCCTCAATATTGCTTCAAATACCATTGCAAAGTTGATTTTTGTTCTTTTTTTATCAGCTGTATTTTTTCATAATTTTTTCATGGGAAATTTTTTGTCACTTTCTTTCAGCGTATTATATAAGAGACTTAGACTAGATATTTTAATATAAGACTAAATCACTTAATTCCCATCACAGCTCAACAAATTATGTCAATTCATTACATGGTTTTAAGCTCTGACGGGAGTTACTTATGTCCAACATCTCGAGGGCTAGAAACGTGAATTTTAATAAGATAGGTACCTTATATTTTATTTTTGGAGTTGGCCTTTTTGGCGGTATCAATTAATTCCTTCTATTAAAACTGTATTACCTTTCATCTTTTGATACGTCCTCATCATTTAATTCTAAACAAATTGTTAAACATGCAACTTTGGTTGGGTTTCCATTTTTTTATTGTTGAATATTTTTGTAATTGCCTTATACCAATAACAACAACACAACCTTCCTCTTTAATCAGTAAACTTGTTCACAGTGCAGCCCAGCAATGTGGTCAAGGTTTCTGTCACTGTAATCAGTTTATTTATTGTTGTGCTGAGTTGGATTCTTTTCCACAGGTATTTAAAAAAAAATCCTATAGAGAAGTATCTGTTAGGTACCGTAGGTTCTATAGCAGGATCTAGACCCTGGACCGATTTACTTTTTCATCTTGATGTCTCCAGAGGTCAAAAACACTATTCCATAAAGTCATTTGGCATGAATGTATAGGGTGGCATAAACTCAAATGAGTTCGCGAACCAACAATATCGGGTCATGAGAACAGTGTTTTATGGGGTTTTGAAATATTCAAAAAAATTTCATATTTTTACCCTTAACATAAAAATGCCCAACTTGTATTGCAACCAGAGCTAAAAAAAAAACAATTTTGTACACCGAAGCATTGGTGTACAATTGAATTTAGGCTATGGAGAAAATTCCAAAAATCTGCTTTATTCCCATGTTAGGCTATTCTTATGGAGAAAATGAAAATTGTTGGTTTGCTTATTTATGGATACGTTTTTATCAAATTTGGCAAATTTATTTATTTCATGCTGTACTATTAGGCCGGCCACAAAAAGAACCAGGCAAGGCGGGGCGCGACAGGGCATTTTGCCCAAGGGCGTCTTGTCGTGCCCTGTCGCGCCCCGACCCGCCTGGTTCTGTGTGTGGCCGGCCTTAACATATGATAAAGAAATAGTTATTTGTGTAACTAGTGTGGAAAGTGGCACTTTGATGCACATGAGATAAATATTTGAAACGCACAAGCCGCAGGCGTGTGTGGATTTTCTCAAGTGCAGCAAAGGCACTTTTTACACATTATATTTTGTTTACTATTAATATAAAACATATAAAAATTTAGTCTTACAAACACTATAAAACATGTTTTTAGGTTAGGTTAAATCCAAGCGTTGAGCATAATGGGAAACGCTACCTACCCCACCTGATCGTACTCGTAGTATCTTTGTGTTGCCAACTTATTTCCGAGTGTACATGTATTACGAGCCGAGTAAAAGTACACTCTTCTGTGTTGTTTGGTTGGAATACTGGAGTGTGGCAAAAAAGCAAGTGCGGAAAAAGAACGTAAATGCAGCAATTAGGTACTTTGCGTGCAATATAATCAGTGCAAGGACCCACTTTGTCAGGTAACTGTAGGAAATAGAATATTTCGTGCCTAGGGCTGAAAATGAGGTTTTGCCGGCTTGAGATTGTTTTTTAACTTCAAGATGAAGTCGAGAACTTGAAACGATCAAGAGCTGCAAAACTATTTCGGCACGTGGTAGGCCTACGAACGCTATTTTTCACCACACTATACTGTACCCTATTGCCACTATTCCCCACAATATTAATTCACACTAACTACAACTTTAAGGTTATGTGAAATATTTTGAGGAATCAGCAAAAATAACAATAAATAGTTGCTTATGCTGCGGTAACGATCAAATAAGTTTATTGCAATGCATATGGATACTGCTTGTATATTTCATATAACAAGTTAATGTTTTAAATTTAAGTAAATAAACAAACAGTTAGTTTTCGGCTCTAGGGATGTAAAAATCTGCTCAGTCCCCAATTGATGATGGCAGCTGGCATGGACAGCAATACGTAGCTTTTGGCCCCCAATAAAAGTTTGTAAAACGGCTAAAAACATCAAAGTGTGATGAAAAATATTTTTTTCCTTCCTTGTAACAAGCAAATCTAAGTATTCATTAAACCTAATTTGGATGGGGAATAAATCTGACATGTTCAAGGAGTTATTTTAGTCAAAATCTAATCAGACAAATCGAAGTTTGCTTAGTCTGCATGTTTGCTGTGGCGGTGGTATTTATTTACGACACATTTTAGTATTTATCAATACGGATATAGCATAGTTGACTTGCAATCCCTGATCAATAAACAAGGAGTGAAAAAAGCAAGTACCTGACATCAGCCGACATGTTGCATATACTGTAGTTGTAGGTATGTTGAATACCGGTCATACTAAATCTATCACGGCATAAACTAGAACAAACTTCAAGAACCCCAACATATAGAGAGATAAAATTATAGAACCTACGACGAAACTGGCTTAAAAATTTTCAAAACACAAGAAAATTCTCTACTCAACTGAAAAACTGCACACCCTTATTACAATTTAAAAGAGCTCCTGGATGAACACACATATAATAAGACAATATTTTAACCAGAAACGCATAAACAAGATAAACAAGAAAATGAATAAAAAGAAAAAATTAAGTTGAAGCCTCCCCAACCTTGATGGCCGCAGAGGAGAAGAACAGCAGTAAGTAAGTAGTGCTTAAAATATGAAACAGACAAGTACAGTAGGCGCAAGCAGTCTGCGCATGCGGTTCCGTCTCTACTAGCCGTCCTGTATACATTTCACCCACATATCCACCAAGCCTAGCCACGAAGACAGCTGAACAACTCCAGAGCCGTGTGGGCCAGATGGTTTTGGAAATGAGCATTAAACAACCCCCTTTCACCCCGCGGCGGTGCGCCCAGACTGGATGCAACTACTGTACTAGGGGCCTACTTGGTAACTTGGCAAGTAGCCTATTCACCTGTGAGGACAACACAATTTCAGTGAACGTGCGTAGAGGTAGGTTGTCAGTGAATAAGAAGAAGAAAACAAGATTTTGCGTTGATCACCATCATTATAACACCAAACAACAATTGTAACTTATGTGGAATTAGTAGGCTATGATTATTTAACGCCAGTGTTTAGCCTACTGAAGTGAAAGTGACATCATCAGAAAAAGATTTGTTTTTCCTAAAAGGACATTTTTTAAGCACATTTAGTCTGACACTAAGCAAGCAGGTTCTATAGCTCAAACGACTTAAGTTGAGGTGTTAAGTTACATCTGAGGCCTTGGAGACCTCTTTTGATAAGGTAAGCTCCAACTTATGTTTACTCACAAGAACAGAAGTAGGCTAATGTATTATGATAGAATTACGGTAACTTATTCTTTGAGTACCTATCACCTAAAACATGTTAGAGCCATTTTATGTGTAGTACTTTAGTTTTGCTCTTAAATACAACTTAGGCTACAAGAGGTAACTTACTTATAGGTTACCATTTCGTGCAATTCTTGAATTTGTTATTTTTAGGTAAGCCCTCAGTCCAATTATGACTAAACTAAAATAAATAACTTACCATGTGTCGATAAAACTGTTGATTGAAATCTGCCGGCTTAGAATCATGTGTTCTCCGTGCAATACACCCTACATCATTCCATGATATTCACCCCTTTAATTACTTCTGGCGTACAAAAATAATAATTGTAAGTGTATACAAATTTAAGACGTTTTTGACAACGAGCAAATATTTTCAAAGACAAGGCATGATCATAATATGGGGCGGTCATATATCAAACACTTGACAAGTTCACTGAAATAGTTTGCATCCCCTAATTGAAACGACCCACAACTTCGACCTCGACTAAACTACAACACCATCATGGTGCTTGGCTCACTGTCAAAAATACCATAAACATTACTTTACTTGGATTTACAATGTCATGTCAACAAATCTCAGAACACTCGACAGACAAGACAACCGTACCCAATCCCAACGTCAACGAACGAACCCCTCAAAGCTTGAAAGCGCTTTACCAAAACCAAAATAAACTTGTTCTACTGCTAATCAGCTGGTCCACTTGCTCTGTCCACGTGATGTAGTTGAGTGAAGAGATACATAAAGTACAAAATAGACAGTAGTGTCATGACCATTGGTTTTATAGTATAACCAATATGTCACGTTTGATGTACGATACGAAATAGTTTAAAATAAGTGAAGTACTAAAATATCCTATTTGGCAATTATACTGTTTTGAACTGGCATCCAATAATGAAAGAGAAGAGGATACAGTTTTCAGTAAAGTTATCCTAAAATGTAGTCTACATAAATGGCTCTATTATGGATCTACAATCTCTTTGGCATCATTTTTTAGATTAGCCTAGAAACGAATACGGTATACCGGTAATCAAAATCATGGATTATTGAACATAATTCCTTTTAGATTTATCAGCCAATCAGCCTTAAGTATCAGAGACAGAGTTTCTATTTATTCGAAATTTTTAAATGTTAATGGTGTCAATAAAATATTATACAATATAAGGTGAAATAAATGACAAATACAATGACTCTGCCAGGCAATAAATTCTTCTACTCTGTGAATGGCATCTTGTAGAACCATCGGGTGAGGCAAGCTTTCAATCCCCGCCTTGTGCAACAAGAGTTCAAGGGTTGTCATCTTTCAGCTCTCCTGGCAGAATTTTGAACGAATCTTGGCCCGGCATAGGTAGGCTTATATGTTCGAAGAGTCCAAGGCGATGAGCAGGGAGGTTATTGTAGTCTATAAGTATAAAAGAGGATATTTATTTATATTTGACAGTGATAAACTCAGACACCGCTGAACCGATTGCCACGAAACTTGATACATACGTGTAGAATTTCATGGAATAGGTTTATACACCATGAATTTCGTGATCCGTCCAATCGGCTCCGCCCCAGTGGCTCTGGAACTGGAGTTTCCCATGTTAACCTTATGAGAAATGGAATTAATGAATCTTAACAGCTGTTTCAATTAAACAAGTTGGTTCTGTTCTATGATGTTCAATAGCATTAAAGTTACAAGGAGGATTACCTACAGGGTGCAGCACTATTATTTCTTTTACATTTATGACAACAGCTAATTTGCAACCAAAAGGTGAGTGAGCATAGCGAACGAACTTCAACCTGGGGCCTATTTCATAATAAAGTACTAAACTAATATTATTAGTAAATCAGCTGATCGCCCAATGCAAATCTAATGGAAATTACAAGTTACAAGTACCTGAAGGCAAGTGAGCGTAGCGAACGAGCTCCAACCTAAAGGTGAGTGAGCGTAGCGAACGAACTTCAAGGACGTGATTGAGCCATGCGAACGAGATCATCTTGAAAATTAAGAAGTTAAACGGGGCAAAGCCCGCGGGTTACAGCTAGTTAATTATATTATTCTCGTTGCATAGCTATACACACTTCTTCATGCCCCTTGAGATTCATTGGTTTAGGCCAAAACAATGGTTTCCATTAGGTAAGACTGATGATTACAGTAAGTAGCTCAAGCTCATCATCTTTAAAGAAGCTATACTACAATTTTCCAACCAGTCAGCATCATGCGTAATTTTCTGCAGAGTATCAAAGAGACAATTACAACACGTTCCAAGTTAGTATGAGCCGCAGACCCTCAAACTGCTATATTCCATATCGTAGAGCTTTCAAGTGTGTGATACACCACAAGCACAGTCTCTTTGATTCTCTTCAGAGCTAGCATATCATCAACCCTTTATAGTTAAACAGCATTAACTTTATTAATTGATAGCCCAAAGACAAATGTCGTCTAAATTTGAAATAGATCTTGCTTGAAATAGAATCAGTGACATGTATATAGCAAATCTTTTCATTAGGAGCTAGCTCCTCTCTGGTTGTAAGTCAAAAAGTAGAGCACAACAATCACAAAACCTACATTAAAATAAGAGAAACACATTCAATCAACATCAGGATCCTCAATCATCACCAACATGACATCCACAAGAAATTAATAATTATTCAATAAAAATCTCAGATTTTACAATAGGGTGAGAAATCTATAATAGCACTAAAAAACAATGATGTAATTTGAAAAAATAGGAAATGCTTTACCTTTTTTATAGCACCACACAAACATTTCAAATTCAGCAAAGCCTATAATCATCAGGGCGGGATCACTTTTAGGCCAAGAACAATGGTCTGCACTCCTCCTTATTCCTCCAATGAGAAATTGTGTAGTAGAGGCTATGTAAATGACAAATAACAGACACTCTATATTTGGTAATCTTTTTAAAAGTTTTTTTAAGGTTTCCAGCTCATTCCTAAACAAGTCAGTATAGCTTTTTGATTATTTGAAACTATACTATGGAGACTGTTTTTCTCAATAATTGTGTGCAAGGACATTTTTTTCCAAATGGTCCTGGCTGAAGAAACAGGAAGGATCTTTAGTTACAAAGCTGCACAAATCAACTTCACTCCATTCTTCACTCACCTAGCCCTAGCATTCATTTTCAGCCAATAGGAGATATCGATGTTAAACTAGATTCATCCTGATGAGCTAGAGACTTGAAACATAGCTCACAAATGGATGACAATGCAATGCTGTATCTGTGTATCATTTTATTTTCATATTTCCCTTGGGCTAAACCCAATGGGCTTCCAAATTTTCCATTTTTACATTTTGAAAGAATGTAATATCAATTAATTTAGTCAGCTGTAAATAAAGGGTGTCCCAATAAGAACGCCGGATTTGAAATGTTAACAAACCATATATTCATGCTAAATTTACAATATGAAACATGAATCTTAAAGCATAGTATCTCCGATTAGTAATTGAGTATTATGTCTTGTAAGTGTCAACCTGCCAAATACTGACAGGCCCGACATCTCTTGACAAAGTTTTCCGTCATTTTTTCTTACACTTCCTGTTGAATTCCATTAATGGCACGAATCATTTCCTCCTTCAAGTCTTGGATTGGTTGAGGATTATTGGCGAAAACAAACGACTTTAAATACCCTTGGAATAGAACTGAGCCAATTTATTCGAACTTAGAAATCAATCTTCGGACAGATGGATCATTTGGTGCATTGTCCCGGCCGTAAATAGTGCGCAGCTTCCGTGCTTGTAGTGCACTTTAACTATGACCACGCGTTGTTCCGTCGTGTAGCGATTCATGACTACAAATGGGACCTAATACTGATAACATTGCTGATAATTTGGGAATTTATATTGAAATACAGATAAGGATAAGACGCTCCTCAAATCCGGCGTTCTTACTGGGACACCCTTTACTTAAATTTGGCAGTTTACAGCTTCTGCTCCTGAGATTTGTAAAAATATAAAACAACCATTTCAAAGTAAGATAAAACATCTGATTACAGATAATAAGGTTTCGGTTGTGTAACAGGCCATGTAAAATAGATTTAACATATTTAAGACTAAAAAGTAGAAAATAATTTATAAATAAAAATACTGTTAAAAATAAACGCACTAAAAAGTAGAAAATAATTAACGAAAAACGTGGGGCGCATGCAATAGATCATAATATTTCAATTTGTGAAGTTAATTGTAAATTAGCACGCAACGCACCCCTCGTTTTTCATTTTAAATCTTACAAGTATTTATTCTCTCAATCTATTTATAAATTATTTTCTACTTTTTAGTGCGTTTAAAAACGTGGCATTTTTAAAAAGTATTTTTATCTATTATATTGTTGTTGAAGCTCTTGGGTAAGTTATTCGTTATCTAATAGCAATAGCCAGATTCACAATCTGTTTTGCATTTACCTTTGCCCCTCTCAGTTTCTTTTCTAACCAAATCCCAGTAATTTCCCAATCATAATACCACGACAATGCGATACTGCACCCCCGTTACTCCGAGACACAGCACTTGCTTACCAAGGTACAGTGCCATAGCTAAATAATATCTCTATATATAATCTTTGACTATTAATACAACTTCCATCCCCATGTTAAAGTTGTAGCCAGGTTTTTAATTAAATTTGTCTTAGTTGATGTGAGCCACCTACAGATTGCGCTGACCTAAATTAGGCCTACTGATTTCTGCCGATTACATGATGGTTTTTACCAAGTCAAACTGATGGAATGACTTATTATGAGCTATAGCAACTGTTGTGACCCAGCAACTATGTCAGTAACGAAAAATAAGGTACAAAAGACACTAGCGCAATCTTTGACTGGCTCACACAACATTTTTTTTTTAAATTGGCATAAACTAGCAGAATACCCGTTCTTCGTACGGTGTTTGCGAAAATGCTTATTGCAGTTATACTCTAAATCAGCTGACAGAATCAATTAATTCCTTTTAAAATTTGAATACCCATAAGGTTTACATGGGAAACTCCAGAGCCACTAGGGCGGAGCCTGAAAGGAGTTTTGAGATAACAATATGCCTATATGTTAATCGGGAATGTGAGCTATCATCACCCCAAATTTCAGCCCAATCCGACCAGTAGTTTTCACGTTTACTTGTCACAAACATACATCCAAACTTTCTCATTTATAATATTAGTAGGGAGGATAGGATAAAAACCCAAAACTGAACAACACTAATTTGGAGGTAACAAATAAACAACACTGTAGTATACTTCTTTAATAAAGGCATACGCCAAAACAGAATTACAAAATTGTTTCTGTACCGTACGTACATATCTTTGGTATAAATAAAACTCATGTGTATAGGATTTTTACATCAACAAAACAGTTTGTGAAACAATATGAAAATATTTTAGAACCTGAGTACCGTATGCTAAGGTGAACTAAAGGTATTGCCAAGCTTAGCTAGGTTAGTCACTCTATGCGCTAGCACGAGGCCTCCTCTACCATCTCAACGACCACCTGATCGTTTACATCACATTTAAATTTTGGATTGGATAAAAGAGTGCTTCAGACATACTCCATAAAGCAGTTTGATTATTGACTCCAGTTTAATTTTGAACATAAATATCTCGTACAGAAATAAAGGTTCCATCATTAACAAGGCAGTTCAAACCTGTTGGCTGCACTCCATGTACACAAGTCAAACCAATCGTAACAGTTTATACCACAAGTAAATCCTTATACCTAGATGTCAAAATATGTTACTAAAATCATAAAGATAGGACTTGGCTAGTGATCACGATATTAAGATTTAATTTTATACAATTAATTGTGTCATCCCCACAATTGTGTACCAATTTATTACTTGATGGAGTTGAATTCTAAAGCACTGCTGAATCTTGTACTTGATGAGCTTGTCTCTTGAACTCAGTACTTGTAAACAAATTGGATTTTGTCACACTTTAAGAATATTTCAACAAACTTAAATCTGTCTGTTCATTGTAAAATTTGTGTTGTCATTCATATCGTGGTCAGGTCAAAAATTAAGCTCAGATTGAAAAATTGTACAGCATATTTTAGAGTTCATACGGTTTTTATAATGAGTTATTTCTTGCAACAAAATTTTGAAAAACAAATAAAATTACCTTTGAAATATTAGTTAAATGTTATGTAACTTAAAGGAAACATAAGGATCAGGTAATAACGCAATAAAGTTATAAAAAGTGAATAAAAATACTAATCTCATGTTATGAACTGAAAAATATTATGAAATCACAAAATTAGAAAGTGTGGGATACTTTTAATGTACAAAATTCTCAAAAGAGCATAACAATCTTTCGTCATAGTATTTGAGAGGCAAAAGACCAATTAGTGTAGATGTATACACAGTGTCCGGGCTAAACACTTAACACTCACATTTTTGAAATCGAGATAAGAAATAAGTAGAAATGTGATGTTCAGAACCATCCAGGAAAAGATAGAGCGAGTCTATCCAATACTGCTAGTAACCAATAGTGTTTAAGAATGTTTGCTAACTTGTCAAGTGTTGCAATTAATTGTCACTGTGCTGCAACAGCAATTGCAGTTGTAACATTAGTTGCAACCGTGTCACAAACTGTAGTTGCAACAATAGTAGCTGCTTCAGCAACCAGAGGTTTAACTGTAGTTGCAAAATAAGGGAGTAGTAGTTGGAATAAGGGAGGTGGAACAGACCGAGTGATCATCATTTAGTCAGGTCTTCCTCCTACATTCCATGCATCTTGGCAAAACAAAGCAACCACAAGAATATTTGCAGCTGCTGTAACAGTAGTTACAAACGTGACTTAAACTGCAGGTGCAAATCTTCAACGACAGTTTTATCCTCATAATCAACTATAATTGCTACGGTAGCAACCTCATCAACAGTAGCTGCAACTTCAAACAGTTTCAACTGCATTCACAAATACAGCCACAGTTTCAACTGTAACAGCAACTGCAAGTACGATTTCAACCGTTATACAACTGCAATCACAGTTTTAATTGCAGCCGCAGCAGCGATTAGAACTGCAACCACAGAGTTTCAACCGAGTTAGCTATTGTAACAACAGTTTCAACTGCATCAGCAGCTGCAATCAAAGTTTTAACTACAACCGCAGCAGCAAATGGAACTGCAACCACAGTTTCAACTGCAATCAAAGCTTTAACTGCAACCGCAGCAGCAAATGGAACTGCAACCACAGTTTCAACTGCATTGGCAACTGCAACCACAGTTTTAAATGTATTAACAACTACAGCCACAGTTTCAACCGTATTGGACACTGCAACCACAGTTTCAACCGGAACAACAGTATCAAGTTTCAATTACAACCGTAGCAGTAACATAGAACTAGGAGAAGTGAGAGAAGGCACCTCTTGCTCAGGAGACACTTAACACAAAACACATAACCTACATTACTGGATATGTACATATCTTACATTACAGTTACAGGCTAGTATATCGTCTAACAACGTGTTCGATTATGTTAAATCCAAACAATTCTGTAACAACTCATATCGAAAATAGTAGTAAAACATATTGCTACTTAGTACTGTGAATGGAAACATAACTAGTCTATTGTAGACGATTTTGTACATAAAAAACCTAAATATCGTTGATTTATAAGAAATTCATTGTTTAAAATGAAACTACATTAAAACCGCAGTACGTAACAGTTATTTTTTGACAGATTGATACCTACAAATTACATTATTTACAATTTACAAATATAAACATAAACACTTACAAATAATTCAATAAAGTTTCGCTAGGTAATGTTTATTCGGAATAGATTCAACTTCTAGTACAATATGATAAAACGAAGAATTACACCAGGATCGATTTGACTATAGCATTAGGCCTCAAGCGTACAATAGAAAACCACCAAAACATCGGTCAAGCTTACAATCGGACCAGACCAGTATTTGTTCAACATAAGCTAAAACATTTTGTTATAAAATGACTTACGTTATATTGTCTAGTTTCGATTAATTGCTGTATTTTTACAGAGAGTAACAAAACAATTTATTTAGTCATTGTAAAATTCAAACAAATACTGAACTTTACAATGTATTTACTTACTTACTCTACCTTATAAAAAAATCTGTTACTGAAGGAATTATATTCTTTTCAAATTGCATTTACATACGAAAAATGTTTTACTTGAGTGTGTTTAGCAAAAAATGTTTATAAGATTAAAAATTCCATTTAATAATAAATTGTTGTCAAATTACAATACAATTCAGTTACCAACGTTCTACCATTTATTTATGTACAGATGCTGTGCAGATCGGGTTGGTATAAAAACAAACTCAGTGTTTTTAGAATAACAACTAGTAAAGTATCTCACAACAAGAAAATTAACAATGTATTTGTGCTGAAAGACAGGTATAACAAGATAAAAGTCAACAGATTGTTACATAATAATACATAAACATCAACTAACAACTTCACAGATATGAGAAATATTGTTAGGATTGATTAGACATTGTCAACTCTGAAGTATAGTTTCAAAAATATTTTTGAATTTGGATGTAAAATAGTTTTGGAACTTTTAATACTCAATCCAACCAGAGTTTGAAGTTCACAAACCAAAATATGACAAATCCGTTGCAAAAACAGCGTTTAGGGGGTTAAGTCAAATGTCATAAAGGTTATATTCATTATAGTATGGAAATTAAAGTCCTTTAAATATACTGAATGCACGGAATAGGTTGAAGTGTTTTACTTCCCGGGAGAAAACAAACCTCAATGTAAAAAATGCAACAAAGTTACTAGTAAAATTTTACTGTAGATGTAAAGTTATGATGTTAAAACAGGAATATTTACCCAAACGTATAATTACTATAAACGATCAAAACAAATAACAGAGATTGATTCGGAACTTAAAGTCTCATATTTTATAAAGTTATAAACTATTTCAACAAATTGTCTGATTTAGTATACAACTGATGAGAAATATTCACATAACAGTTACAATATTTAAACATCACTAACATAGTACATTCAAACAACCTAAATCTGCTGGTCAATTACATACAACGCGTTAAAACCACACTGATAAACCTACTAGCTTTATCGACAAACTAAACAAGAATATTCCCTTTGCTTTTAACAATGTTAATATGACATTGCAGATGACAGTGGAAATTAGCACATATTTAATTAATTGGGGATGAACTTGTAAAAATCACAGTAGTAACAAAGTAATTGTATGGTTAAAGTTTAGCTTTTAAAGTGTAATTTTTTCAATTCAATATATTTCTTACCTTTACAAGTACTATTACATCATCTCTTAACTCACAATCATAGTTAGTTATTAATATTCTTATTCATATTTGGCAAAATATGCCTTACTTGGGTACTTGGATCTCACATTGCAAAAGCATCTTTCAAAACATAAATTTGTAAAATTATTTGACAAAGGATGATTTTTTTAAACTATATAGTATACTGGAACTTTTTATGAGTAGACTGTTACTCAAAATCAAATTTATTGCTTGTTTTTTTTTTAAGATGGAAAAGCTGGTAAGGTGTATTTTAACACAAATTAGAATAAACTACGATTGTAAAAAGTTTATTGTTGTATCTTTGTTGCAGGCTAAAACCAGCTGATTCTTTAATGAATTGACGCGTAATCCAGATCCAACTTTGAACCAACAAAATAGGTACTTAATCTTTTCTCTCAAACTTACAATATTTTATTAAAAGGCAAGCTCTGTAACCACTATCTACCCAGATGTAAATATTAAGGTTCAAGTTCGGAGAATGTTTACAAGCTACAGGTCAGTGAGTAAGAAACCAGTGAGTCCGCGAGTGTGCTAGTTGTTGAGTATACATGAAACTTTCCACTCGCTTAGTAGCCAAGTAGAAACAATCAGCTCTTTTGATAATGTATTTGATGCACCATACACCGCAACGCCCTACCCACAGTTACACCCACTCTTTCCGTTTTCTATTTTATGTTTTTTAATAACTTGCTTTAGAAGACAAATTACAACCCCTGCCAATAACCAATTCCTCTAACATCATCAGGACCAACTTGTCTCTTATTCACAAGTAACTGTGAGTACACTTAGATTACAATCGGGTTTGCTCAAATGCGAGTGAGAAGCTTGTAACGTCATTAATAGAGTCAACTTTTTTCAAAGCTTTTTTCAATGCAGCTACCAAACAAGTGGATGCTGACTTTTAGCTTGTAAACTCCCATTTACCTGACTCTTTATGATCAATGACAACAAAAACTGAACTGACATGTGGAAAGTATGTGCAGGATTATTGACGTAGGAATTATGCGTCAGACTCCTTGAGATCCTGTAGCCGGGCCAGCTGATGTGGTTCCAGCTCGTCTGGTATCACTGGTGGGGCTGCGGCGGGGTGCGAGTGACTCTGGGAGTTGTCAGCCGTACTAGGCCCCGTGTAAGTGTCTTCTTCACTGCCTGTCAAACCGTTACAGTGGGATTAGTATAGGCTATGGGAGGGATTAAAAGCGATAGATTTCATAGGATGCACTTTGATTTCAAGGGAAGAAGAAAATCTGACAAAGAACCGAGAAAAAAAATAATTGTCTGTTGAAGACCAAGAAAATAAAATGGTGACTGGAGAATAAGGACAAACAAATAACTAAAGCAAATCTATACAGAAACCGAGACATAATATCCCCGATAGAAAGTAGGAGACTGATATGGGCTGGAAGAGAAGAGAATAAGATTCAATGCTAAAAATGGTGAAATCTTCCTCGGGGAAGACAACCATTAGGACGACGTCGGCTAAGGTGGCAGGACCAGGTGCCAAGAGACATAGGAAAATTAAGAGCAGAGAAGGAATGGATGGAAGACAGAGAAAGGCGAGCTGTGATTTTCTGAGACGATGGTACCGGTAAGCGTTTCCACACTGTAATAATTACGACTACACCAATGAAGTTGGGGCTTATTGTATTGAGGATGGTGCAGACCGAACTTACTGGAGAGGCTTTGTTGGCAAAATCAAGTACCGAATTAACTCACTACCAAGTAACTCAGTTACATCAGTAACATGCATGAGGAAATATTTAATCTAATGTTAAAATTAAATAACTGAGGCTAATCCTAATAAAAACCATGCACACAAGCTGTCAACAATCTTTCACTAGATACTCATTCATATCTAAATGATTTGGAAGAGAACTTTACGTTCTATGTAATTCCAGATATATTAGGAAAGAACTGCGTATTTAAAAACTATTGTGCAGTGGGGGTGTAAATAGAAGAAAGATACCTTTACTAGTAATGCAACTATCACACATGGTTTTAAAATAAAATTCTCAAACGAATATTTTGGAACTTTACTATCAATGATGGAATGCAAGCAGCAAAGGGTGTTGAAATTTTCTAAGTTTATTAAACTTAAGTAAAGAAAGTTGGATAAAGTAGTTAAATTAAGGTTACTCTAAGTGTTTTGAATGGCCAAAAGACGTACAAACACTACCACAACACTATTTTTGCTTTTTTCAATTTTTTTTGTTTTTTCAATTTAGCATCCGTTGTAAAATAATTTAAATAGCAATTTCAAGAGGAAATTGTTTTTTTTTTCCTTAAAATAGAGATTAAAAAGGAACCTGTACTGCTGCTGATGGGGAAGGGGGCTGAGTCTGTAGGTTGGTCGTCGTCTGGATCTTCAGGCACTACTGGTGGCAGCTTCTCTTTCACTTCTTTTACTTCACAAGCCGTTGAATATTCCGGTGGAACCTCTTCTGCGGTCTTCTCAGGTTCCTCTGGTTCTTGAACCTAAGCCAAGAAATAAACTCATAGTTATTGAGGATCAACTTACTATGTTGAAGTGTTTGTCTTGTCACTGAGATACTTGAATTGCTTAATTCAACCAAAACATTACTCAGCAATGTATATGTGAAGATTGATCAATCGATTGATTGGTTCCTGACCAACTTGTTATCTACTATCAAATCACTGCGGTCACCACTGGTGGAGCTTCACTGTCTTTAGACCACCACAGACACCAGTAGTCTAAAACTAAAGACGGTTAAAGTTTTGATAAATTAAATAAATAACAAAATAATATTTGTAAAAAGCTTAGAAAACGCTACAGAGTTTTTATATGCGGTATTTCACACTATGAGCGAGATTAAAAGGGAATGCGGGATTAAACAGGATTTTCGGTCCTAACCTTAATGCATGATTACTTTTTTAGTTTATTTAACTACTTTCTAAATAAAAACCAACCACAATTGATAAAATTATTCCAGCACAGTATTACAGCAAGGTTACAAGAGCTATTTAACCTTGATACACCAAAATGATCATTTAACGTAGAATGAGGAAATACATGCGGAATAAAACCAATGTGGGAGGGACAGGTTCAATTACCCGGCAATTAGTTTGGATCGCTCTCCTTTAAAAGCACTTTAACTAACTTTAACTTAAATTAAAATGGCACTAGCGTGGGAACAAAAAACGGGATTTTTCAGTGTAGGATCAAAGTAGGATAAAATGAGATTCTCTCGACTCGACCGAAATTTTTGTTTTGGTCTTGTGAACATAAATACCTCTTCTGGCAGGGGTGGAAATGGTTTCTCAGGCTCTTCCATCATAGGAGTAGCGGCAGTGATGACTATCTGAGCCACCCCGAGCCCCGCAGACGCAGGTGCTGCTGCAGGCGGGGGTGGGCGACCTCCCCCACCCGGCTCAACCACTATCACCTGACAGGCAGCAGGAAGGTCAACAAACTCTATTCACTTCAACAAAACATCTTAAGTATAGTAAATTTTTTAGGAAGGTGTGCTTTGTTTATAAATACATTCAATGAGAAGGAATTGATACAAAGCTAACACACACAAGAACATAGTTCCAGGCAGTTGATAAGATACAAAAAGTTCATACCACAATTAATTTGACATTTCACTCTTACAAAGGGTAGTAATAAGAAGTACTTGTACAGTCAACAAGAATAAGAATCTGAGATCGTTAATTAATTGCATTGAAATTCAAAAGAAAATATTTAATAGCTTAAATGAAAAGAACGTCTAGTTGTAAATACTAAATAACTGAATAATTTTATTTTAATTCCCTAAAAAATCATAGAAAGCTGTATGATAGCATAAACATCATTACAGTTCCTTTCTTAAATATCATCATTGAAGCTTTATCTTATTTCATGTTTGATTATTGATGCAATTTCTTTTAAAATACCTTAAATATGAAAAGAAAAATAGATAAATGTCTATGGAGGGTTTTACTAGCTAGTAAAAATGGCAAAACTTAACAATTTTAATTAATTTTTTAACAAAAAATAAATAAAATAACTGTGTGATTTTCAACTGATTACCTTGGCTGTGCTTTCTGATTCCTCCTCGTCCACTATGAAATGCAAACAAGTAAAAAAAACTTGTAGTTTTGATTTTCTTTTTCCTACATCTTTATTTAATTTTTGTTATTATTGAAATAGATGATATGAATCAATGAAAGTGGTAGTTTGACAGTTTTCACTCAAAAAACAGTAACTAACCTTCAACACCACCACTCAAGGTCTTTCACAAAGTGATAAAAAAGAAAAACATATCTGCAAAATTGTTGGTGACAGGTTTATTTTGTTTCATGGGTGAATTTAGTGAAACACTGATTGGATGGGCGGTTTTAAGTCTAGTATACAACTCAAGAGGAGTTCACCTATATATAAGGTAGAGCTTCGAGGGAGAGGATCCCCTAAAATAAACGGTAGACAGCTCTGGTAGAAGTTAAGGTATAGATTCATAGTGGGTTGCTCCTAAATCAGGAATTTTGCTACGTTCTGCTATTGCTACTGAGTGTTTCCACTTAAAACTTTCTTTAAAAAACCACTTCAGTCTCTTTGTTCATAAGATTAGGGAAATGGGTTATACAAGGTATCTGAAAAAGAATGCCAGGATTTTAAACGGCTATTGCTTGGGTAGTGTTCAAGAGAACTAAACGATTTAAACGTAAATTTTGAGTTGAAATAACTTAAGTTTTAATGTAGCAAGGGAGGAAGCGTTGACCTTGGCATGCGCAAAACAAGTGCGTGGTGTCAGGCGGTCGTAACTCACACACCTAACGACAGTTTCCACTACAATGTTTATGGCACAACAAACACAGTGTGATTGGTGGTTTTCAGGGTGTTAATTGATTGTTGATTTAAATTAAAACTATTCCACCCTGGTTTAATCAGTCTTGTTGCACAGGAAGTGTTTTGAAAGGACATTCACCTGTTCAGCCAAAAACAAGTGATGACAATGTCAAAAAAATCTGATAATCTTGCATCAGAACCCAAAAAACCAATTGCCTGACAAAGTCTTCATTTAAACATACCTAAATCGACACTCCACAAAGTCATTCATAAAATATTGAAACTTTGTGCCTACAAAATTCAGTTAAGACATCAGATCTCACCCACTGATTGCCCTAAGTGTACGTACATACTCTGCCAGTGTTACGCTCATATGAGATTGATGACAATCTGAGTTTCATTAAATGTTTTTGAATTTTATCAACGTATGAGAAAAACATTGTTCTTTTACATTCAATTTGACGCTCAAATTGTTTAATTATCTTAAATAATCCCCAAGCATTGGCCGTTCAAAATAATTCATTCTGTTATGGAGACCCTGTATTAATAAGCATAAGAAAACCACTGAATAATCCTAGGAGTTTCAGAAATGTTCGTTTTACAACAATATTGTGTGATAGTTTTTGTGTTGTTAAACAGTTTTTTTAAGGTGAAAGTGAAGTAATTACCTGTAACTTCAATCTGGATATCGCCATCAAACTGTGACTCATACTGGTCCTGCTGATTCCTGGTCATCGCCATTGAGAATGATTGAGGCGATTTTTTGTCTGATGATTCCCCTGTAAATTATAACAGAATGTATACTGACTGATAACACAAATTAATATGAAAGGAGGTTATTTGAGTAATCAATGAGTTTAAAAAATGTTTGCTGTGTTATATGATAGGTGTTGGATTGTAAAATAGTAGAAAATTACTTTTCTCGCAGCAACTACCCCATGGAACATCATATTAAGAGGTTAGAAAATGTTTTAATTTATGGCTCAACAGTTATTGTTGTTTAAAAAAAATCTTTGTCACAGTATTATGGCTACAGCTATCAAATTTGAAGAAAACTATTTTTATCAGGCTAGAAGGCTTACTTAAGTGGGAAAGATTCCACTTTGGTACTGTACAAAAAGCCCAAAAACCGGAAAACAAATACAACAATTAGAATATTTCATTGTCACTGACAGCATTCTCATTTAAGGAAAAGTTTGATTTGGGAATGGAGTTGTGTTTAAGCCTATCGGTTGACCAAGTTGGATGATGGATTAGGCTTGGCTGGAAGATAGGTATTATCTTAGCCTAAGGCAAAGGTTTGGGATCAGGTCTTGTTTGTGCCAGAGTGGACTCAATCTCATTCTGGTGAGCCTGCTATCCTAAAATCATTAAACCTTAGTCCCCTATGTTGTTTATGACATTCCTTGAGTATTATAAAACCTTTTGTGATAGAAATTATCTTTATAGGCCCTTAAGTATTATCAGGCTTTCAGTTCAGTTCATGTTCTAAAAAAATACCTAACTTAATACATTCTATGTTAACTAACACTAACCCAGTGAAGGCTGGTCTCCACATGGTGTGGGCTGTGTGACTATGACAGACTGAGGCGCCAGCATGAAGGGTGGAATATCAGGTGGTGTGAACACAGGTGGCGCAGAGCCTGGAGGTGTGTCATCCCCCTGCAACAACAATAACATACATGTCGATGTCATAATTGATTTTTGACTACATAGAAACCTAGGGTTAGACAAATGTGTGGGCACCCTCCCTTAACCTTTTAATGGATTACACACACAAAAATAAACTCTGAACACCTTTATTTGGTAAAAAAGTGCAACTTTCTCACTTTTATGTTTCAAAATGGGGTATTTTGGTTCAACAAAAATGTTAAGTGTAAAGCCCCTTCAAGTGACAACTTGTTTTAAAGAACTTTGTTGAAGAAGAATGTCAGCAAAAACCAGAAGGCTTTATCTCAACTCAACCTAGTCAAAAGATTATGGCTATTCAAATTTTCACTAGCCTGAGAAACCCCACTTATAATCAAATGAAATGAATTTTCAAATAACCGCGATGTTCTACTGGGTCGAGATAAACACCTCTACTAGGCTAATATTTTTCTTTAATAAAGGCTAGTTATTGTGGAATATGGATCCGTCAAAACCTAAGTGTTTTCCTAAAAGTATCTTAGTACTTCACTTTTGGACACTTTTTTACTGTCTTAGTTCTTGGATTTAAGTATAAAAGAATCACAAACGTTAACTTGTGTGGATGTGTCAGGAATGGACACTCTTGCTACAAAGTCCGAGACTAACCACTAGTCAAGCAACACACCAATATTGAAGATCTTAAATCAATTACGTCAATACTCGGCTAGTCAAATTTAACTTGTCATTGATGGTACCGTAACTACTCTTTTTTCAAGTTTGACTAATAGCATTAAGATTGTAAACAATAGATTTTCTTTCCATCACTAACCATCAAGATGCCTCCAACAGCCTTACCTCAGGCGTAAGTGGTTCCCCGTTCTCTCTACACTCCTCTACGACGAGAGAAGGGAAAAGTCCAACTTGGTCTCCGATCTTCCCCTCCCACCATCCGTCGTCAACATTGTCATGCACAATCTTGCGTAAAATTTCCAGAACCTCTCCTTCGTTGAATGTGATCTCATCTTCACATGTAGCTTCGTAATCGTACAGAGCTATTGCCCATGTCCTCTGGTCTTTGCCTCCAGTGATATCTAAAAAAAAGAATAATTTGGTGGGACCAACAAAACTAAACTATTTGTCTTCTAATTAGTTAAAGCCTTAATTATGTAAAAAGGTTACAATTATTGTTTTTTAGCAGAATGACTACTTAAGATTTGATTTATAGAACTTATGGTACTCACCGGAATTGAAACCCAATAGCAGTTGATCAAATGTCTCTCTATACTCCAATTGAGAGACAATAATTCAAATCAAAATCAAATCAAATCATGTTTATTAGCACATAAACGTATAGAGGTTTTAGATAAATGCACAGGTGCTTCGTCATTCTTCTTATAGTCTAATATTCTAATATTATATAATGTCCTTTTTTTACAATGTATTTATTAATAATAAATAAAATAGTTTTTAACATTTGAGGAACTCTTTAAATAGACTAGTCAAAAGGTTTAATAAAAAAGATAACGTCAAGCTTAAAACTAAATAACAAGATTTATAGAATTTAATTATAAATAAAACATAAAAAATGTACAAAACATATTTTAGTCAATAACGAGGTCTTCATTAAAATTTCACAACAAAAACGATATATATAAAATATGTAACATTTAAAAATCAACAAGATTAACATGGAGAAGGAACTTTTTACCCTATAAAATATTATGGAAGTAACAGGACCTGCTTATAACATTTGAGAGTCATTTAGAAAATCGTCAACTTTATAATAGGCCTTTCTGATCAAAATACTCTTAATGTTATCTGCAAATTGTGCTGGACTCATTGCTGTGTTTTTTAAGTGATTTGGAAGTTTATTGAACAATTTAATTCCCATGTAATGAATACTTCTTTCTAAAGATGTTGTAGAATGATGAGGGTATATAAGCAAATTCTGGTTTCTAGTATTGTAATTGTGGCTATTTTTTTCTATAGAGTACCAATTTAAATTATTTTTTACATGACACAGAACCTCAAAAATGTAGATACATGGTACTGTAAGTATTTTTAAACTTTTAAATACTTCTTTACATGAGCTTCTAGGCTGTTTGAGGGTCATGGCTCTTAGGCATTTCTTTTGTACTTTCAATACATTTTTTATTAAATTTGTTGCGCCCCATAATGTTATTCCAAAATTAAGTTTTTTAGCTAATTAAGTTTTAGCTTTGACTATTGATACAACTGGACATTCCATCCCCATGTTGAAGTTGTCTCCAGTTTTTTTAATTCAAATCGTCGTAGTTAATGTGAGCCACCAACAGATTGTGCTTATGTAAATTACTGATCCTGTAGTATTCATGAACTTTTTACCAAGCCAAACTGATGGAACGACTTACTGGGAGATATAATAACTGTTATGACCCATCAACTATGTCACCTACAAAATGTAAGGTAGAAAATAGGATTTTAAACACTAGCGCATTTTGTGACTGAATCACAAAACTACGTTCATTTTTAAGAAGAAATTGATGACTGGTCCATATAGATGGGATGTCTACTCTACTATCCAATAGGTAAAATCAACAATTGGTTTGATCTACAGCGAAAATAGTAAAACCAAAACCACACACTGCACTAGTATTTTTCGAAAAATATTCTTTTACAAAGTGTATAGCTACAGTAGTCTTCAACTCCTTTTCCAAACAACATTACAAAAACAAACTTAATCCTGGATTTGGTTGTGCTATTTTATCATATAAATAGAAGCTATCTACTCGGGGAAAAAAGATTCTTTTACAGCCAATGGGGGAGTAAAAAGTAAAAAACACGATTCTATTCAGCATTTTGATTGTCTAACAAGGGTGTGTCAGCTAAGCAAAACCTGGTGCTACTCATAATTTGAACTTTAGTTTAGATTACTACTACCTACTACTCTTATTTCTTGAAAGAGAGAACTTAGCTTTTTCTAGGAACACCACTAAGCTAATAACCAACAACATACATACCGATGTGTGTAGGTTTGTGAACTTCTCGCACAGTGTCTTGCTGAATGCTTTGTTCGCTTGGCTCTTCCACTTCATCAACCGTGTAGTCCACAGAGGAGAATGAAATCTGACTGGTCAGCTGATATGTGGAGCCACCGCTCTGCAGAGCACTACCGTTGGTTGCCGTCTGGTCGGGACAGAAAAATCAAACATTACTTCAATATGCTGAAAAATGGTTAAAGAATCTAAAATCAAATTGTATCTTTTCAATAAAATTAAATAGGCTACTTGTCACAAAAAGTACATGGAACGGTGAAACTCACATACAAAAATATTTCATGCTATAAAAAATTGGATATTAAGTTGAATCCTTAACTTATGTCAAGGACCTTGATATAAAGAGTTTGAACTAAATCACAGAGAAGTATGAAACAGAGGATTATCTTCAATGGTACACTTAAGTGGTCCAAAAGTTTATTGCAGACATTTTCCATCACAATGGTAAAATACCCCCGCCGCAGCAAACCTGCAGACTAAGCGAATTTCCATTTACCTGGCTGGATTTCTACTAAAAATATTCCCTAGAAATGGTCAGATTTATTTCCTATTAAAAAAACCATTAATTTAGTTAGTATTTAGGTTTGCTGCTACAGGGAAGATATTGAGGTGTGTTTGTTTTATTGCAATGTCGATAGCTTAGTATGAAATAAACTGAATTTCCAAATTTGGTTAATATATCAATAAAAATAACAAGCAAACTACAACAGTTTATTTAAATTCTCCTTAAGAATAACATGGGAATTTTTAAGTTTACAATTTTCGTAATTATATCCGTAACCGTTGGGCATACAACAACGCTTTAATATACAAAATTATTTCTTTTTTTAAGCTCTACAAAATGGTTTGGAGAGGAATTATGAAATTTTGTTTTTTTTAGGGTCAAAAATGGGGAAAATCAATTTTTACCACATAAAACACCCCACAAACTCGTTTGTATAAACGTAGGTTTACATGTTTTCAAGTATTTAAACCCCTTCTTAATTTTTATATGTGTAGGTACAAATATCAAAATCCACAAGAGAGGTCTGAGAAACCTGTGTAGGCCTTTACACATTTACTATCTTTCAACGTATTTGTTTCCAAGGAAACAAAGGAACTGAAATTTAAGAAAAATATTTGTAAAGGCATAAGCAGCCTTCCCTGAGCCATAAACTAAGACAACACTATGTCCAGGAAGTCATCAGACCGTAAGTACTCTTGAACTTGTTATTTTTCCCAAAGTCTTAAATGTAACTCATTTGGTAAATGGTAAATAATTTTTGTAAACCCTTCGATATTTGTAAACTGTTAAGATTTACTGTAAAGGTAATACTTTTGCGGAGTTAGGTATTTTTTTTACCAAACTGAATATTAGGTATACGAGGATCAATATTCCTAACTTAAAATAGTAAAATAGTGTAAAGTAGGTAACTAATAAAAGTTGTGATATAGGGATATTTTCATGAAGATTCCTATATTTGAAAACTGCCTTTAAGCCGGATTTTCCAAGACGCAGAAGAGGAGTGCGGAGAGCGGAAAAGCAATTAACATGGTGTTCCGCTCCGCTTCTGGGAAAGTAGTGTAACATTAAATTACCTAAGACAAGAGGAGTCCGCTCTCCGCGCCTAGGAAATCAAAGCTTTAGCAAATAGAGAATATATCAGATTATAATTTTAAAGTTAGTATTGAACTAGGGCGTTCACGAAGGCGTCGCTAATAGGATTGTAAAAGGGTCGTGCCGGTCCAGCTGGTATTGGCCCTGCAGGTCAGTTTGGGCTGCCTCAAGTTATGGTGGCAAGAAATATAACACTTTAGCTTGTTCAAAATTAACTATAAGTGAATAGCTCAATGACTTTTGTTAAGGTATTGGATATTGCTTTACTTATTGAATGAAGTCAAGAAATTGACAACTAAAGTTTGCGATCGGCCGATCCTTTTCAGGTATATGCGATTTTATCTTCCTTTTTTATTATTTTAGATCCATAACAAATTGTGTGGACATTAACGGTTTGTTATGAATTATGAAGATAAAAAGGGTTTACATTTAGGGAATTCCTAATTCAATTAATGATTGAATAACTCAAGCGTGGTTTTTCCTGAAACTAAATGAAAATTGATTTAGCTTCATTGTTTCTTCTAGCTTGTCCCTTCCAGCATCCCGTTGGATCAGATTAAGCTAAAGGTGCAAATTATCATTAGAGATTGATAATCTAGGCGCTGAGCCTGAAGAATGATTATGCAAAATGCTGGTATAAAACACATTAAACAAATTCTTTCATTTTGGAAATTGCTAAAGCAAATCCCTTAGTATTTTGGTTTAAACAAGTTGCCATGGTTTTCATTTCAATGATTTTAAAACCTGAAAAAATTGCGGTCTGGATGGAATCTTAATAACGTTTTCATTTCTTGTAACCAAAAGTGAAAATTAATATCAATAGAAATACCGTACGGTTAGCACACTAAAAAGGATGAGGAACAATTAGTGGAATAACTGATCTGCGTTGCAAATCACTAAGAATCGACTGATCACGTAAAAGTCCGAGTAGACGACTGGACGACCATCTTCCTCCGAGCTTTACCACTGACAGGTATCTCTTCATGAGTTTCAGCAGACCGGGTAACATTTAGTTAAATGTTAAACCTCATTAATAACACTGTGAGATCATATCTAATAAGGTATACTTACAACTTATAAAGAAACCGTTTTCATACCTATACCTATGGTCATGAAACTCTGGCAATTTTTGTTTGTTCTAGGACGCTAGGCATGACCCCGGTATTATTTTTAACATTACTTCAGGCTAGACCTAGTGGTTGGTTTGTCTCTTAAATAAAATCCATTGGTGATTTGGTGGGATTTGAACCCGGGACGGGCTAAAGTCCCACACTCTAGATCAGCTCGCTCCCCGGCTATTTTGAATAAGTGTATGTTACAAGTTACATCCGTTCCACAAATATTTGTGTATGGAAGTGGATAGAAAGGGTGTCAAAGATCGTAATGTCAGGAATGTGAGGCTGGTTGGAGAGCCCACAGAGAAGTAAGGTACAGAGGAAACATGCTTATGGGACAACTGTGCACTTTGGGCTCTGGTATGTTGGGGCGGAAATATACTTGTAATATAGCAAGGAAGAGCCCGAACGGCAAGCACTGTGTGAAAATTCCAATCCTACAGGGCATAGGGTCTTCCTCCACCGTGAGTATTGCAGTAAATGAGGGCAATTGAGGAAGTCGGGACATTGCTCTATACACCAGCTCTAGAGCTAGCCACCACTTAAGTGTATCATGAAGTGTATCGTCTGTTTCTTACTTATCTGTGGAGAGCCTCGCTACAATATCAACCGTGTTACTCTCAATGCTAGGTTTACGTTTTTACGCAGGGAAAAAAACAGGTGAAAAATAACAGATTATATGATAATTGTTGAAAATTCTGTCTCAATAAAGCCAAAACGCAATTTATGTATTTAAGTATAGTGTTTGTGATTTGTATCGCCTGCAAAAGCTAATGAGATAGAAATAATTTATAACATAAGACTGATATTAACAAATTTGGTACATATTTGTTTTCAGGGAAACAGGTTTAAAGGATTCTGAAATTAAATTAAAGATGCCTGACAGCTGTAAGTAGTCTCTTCAATGGATAATAACTAAGACAGCGCTGTGAAAATCGTCAGATGGTGAGTAACGTCAACAGTGTGTAATCTCATTTTCATCATGCAGTTTTGATAAAATCATAGTAGTAGCACAACAGTTTAAAGAACATATCAAAATTGTCGCTACATTAATCTAAATACATATCTGAAAACATTAATATAGCACAAGTGTTGGGAGTATAAAAAAGTCTTTTTTCATTTCCCATGATTAAGGTTGTATGATAAAAAGTAATTCTACATTTAAGCCTTGAACCAACACAGTTTAAATTTTAAGCATGAGAATTCCGCCAAAATCCAGTCAACTTCAAGAGTTTCAAAGTCTCTACGCTCAATGGATGTTGCACGTAAGTAGTTATTATCATTATGAATTTTAATTTAATATTATTGACATTAACTAGTGTATTCCTTTAAGATAACACGAGTACTGTACAGGAAGCATACAAATGTTTGTCTAGGAACCATTATGAATAACTATATTGAGTGATTGACTGATGGAGACTTCAGGTCCCTTGCGATGATAGTGTTCTCCCCATAACAAAAGTATTCCAGACTCAAAGAACAAATCATATCTAAGTACATAGTAAAAATTTACTCTCCATTGCAACAATAGGCCTACTCAACTACTTGCCTCAAAACATTATCTCAACCTGTTGTTAACATAAAGGGATCAAGTTGAAACTTAAAACACTGTTGCACTGTTGTGTTGTTGGTTAAAATAATATTGCAAATTTGTAAATAAAAAAAATGCACAAATTAAAAACTAATTTAATGAATTAATTTTCTATCTCTGTCTTATTACAACCTCATATTAGTGGCAATTTTAGTTAATTTTATACACATCTTGAAACTTACTGACCATAATATTGATGTTCAGATGTTCCGGATTCCATGAAAAGAAGATGAAGTTTGCTTGGATCAAAAAAGAAGATGTATGGTTGTTTGTGTGTGTGAGAGTAAGGGGGTGGGTTTGATAGCTAGGGAATTTGTTGAAAACAAAAACGGACCAGAAAGATTTTTATGTTATTGTTTCATAGTTATTGAACAGGTCATTTGTACTCCCGACTACGACAGGGAGGGGAACTTGCTAGGCTAGCCAGGGAGAGGCAATAAAAAAAGTAGGTTAGAGGGGGGTTGTAAAGGGGGGAGGGTTTGAACATTTTGCTTAGGGACGTGGGATGTATCATGGTAGGCTAGTCAGGGCCTGGGGTTATGGGGTGAAGTAGGCTAGAGGGGGGCATCGAAAGTCGGAAGTTCTAATGACCTGTGTATATACAAAGGCAAAAGATTTTAAAGAAATATGATTTTATCATGAAAAAGATTTTATGGGTTTAAGACATATGGAAAAGAAAATTGTTACTAAAATATTTTAATAACAGGTCCTTGGATCATCCATTTCAGACAGGGAGGGGGATAAAGTAGGCTAGACAGGGACGAGGGAACTTAAAAAAAGTAGGTTATTGGGGGGTTTAAGGGGGGAGGGTTCATTTTTGAGTTAGG